GTTATATCAGTTCAGTTTCATATTTAACCGGTTTCAGTTATACCGATTAAGACCGAAAATCATGTCAGGTTCAGTAGAGCATCCTAACATAATTAATCAGTTAATTTATCAGTCTGAGCATAGTCGTTCATTTTATGGTTGGCACCAAACTCGAGTCATAAAAATCTGAAATTTCTGTCGGTCACATGACCCGTGTGACTTTAAAACTTCAAAATCTTAACTTATTTGGCCTAAAAAATAGCTTAGTCTTGGAAATAAACTGATACTAATTACTAATTACTGCATGGGATGTTACAATCTACCCCCCTTAAACTATTTCCGTCCTCGGAAATACTTAAACTGGGATACATACTATCTGAGTATATATCAAAACTTAAGATCTTGAACTCTAAAATCAGCTTATCACTCCCAAATGGCATCTTATTCTCTGTGGCAATTCCATTTTATAAGAACGAGAAAAATATAAATATTCCTTAGCCGATGAACCTTCTGATCCAAAACTAATACCGGCTGTTTCTCGTAAGTTAAAACTTACTGAATCTAAATCTCATTGTGCTAAAGCACATGATTTGGATCGCTCACGTATACACGTATCATCAATACGTGAAAAACATTACACATATTAACAAATTTGAGAGGTAAAGCTAAATGTTAGAATACTTCGTCTACTCATTCAAAGAACTTTGAACGGAATTATACAACAAGAATGCAACTTACCTTTCTTCCCAAAACGAACGACACTTCTCATTAGTCGAACTTTCAGAAAGACTTTATCTTCAATCTCTAAATGCATTGCTCGTCCATGCTTATCAACTAAAAACTTCTGCCAATTATGAGCAGTCTTGAACCTTTCTTGAATCCAGGCTACATACTTGACTATTTCCCTCAATCAACTTCCATTATGGTAAAGCCAAACACTTTTGGACTTGTCACTTATGACTCGGAACATGACTATGTGGCAATTTGCATGCGATGTACCCACTACCCGGGGCCCTTCGGGTGCGGAACATTTACATGCGTGTACCTACAATGTCAATATCGCCTGCAAAATATACATTAGCATCATCAACTGTACTAAACTTGCCTCTGCGTCGAAAAACCTTCTGATCAAAAACTACTATCAACACTTATATTCCTCTGACTTTAATATATCCAATAATTCTCAAATAAAACTGATTGGAAATTACTGCACTGCAAAAATTACCCAATACTGATCATACCACATTTCAGCCATCGAGATGAATTTTTTTGTCCTCAATAATGCTGACCGACACAACTCAACTTCACAATAATTCATTCTTCAATTATTGCCGACATCTCATATCGGATTTCTGCTGCATTAATTGCATACTGGCTGCATGTTCTGACATTAGGAATATAATAATGCCAAACTCTATCTCCAGAAACATACCTTATATTCTTCGATCTTCTATAAACCGGCTCGCTAATCCTTCAATCTTCTTCAGCAATGGTCCGAAACAACAAATGGATTCAACACTTTCAAATATTCGCAAATCATATTCCTTTCTTCCTTTTAATATCATACAAGGATTTATCGATCTCGAGTGGAAAGATTGAGAGTGCTAATGATCCACAATATTCAAAATGATATCCAATGGTTGATTGAAGCAAACGTCCGACTCTCTGGCGAATTTCCAATTTTCTATAAATTTTTGCCTGGTATGGGTAGAAGTACTCTTTCCAAGAAACGTAGAGCCAAACGAATAGGTGGCTGCTATAAATGTGCTCGGTCGAATTGCGATACCCGATGCAAATCGCTGGGGTTTGTGTCCATAAATCGAGAAGATAAAATAGCTTTCAT